CTGGCTCATCGTGTGGCAGGGGCAGGGTCTGCTGGCACGGGTGCTTGCAGCCTTGCAACTGGCACAAACTGTGTAGCCAGCCCGTGGCCCTTTAAGGGCTCCGGGGCCGGGAGGGGGGCAATGGAGTTTCCCTGGTGTTGGCCAGAGTGGCCACCAGGGGAACCTGGGAAGCCTTAGCCTCCCACTAGTTCGAATTAAGGGGCTACACACCCCTTAATTCGAACTAGTAAGTTCGAACTAGGCTTAATCCTCGTAAAATGAGGTTTACCTAGTTTGAACTAAGCGCTCTGTTAGTTCGAATTAAGTTCGAACTAACGGAGCGCTAGTGTAGCGCCTAGGAAAGTTAGTTCAAACTAACATCCGTTAGTTCGAACTAACTTTGTAGTGTAAACATACCCTTACCTACTAATGGTTCTTATCTGCCTCTTTTGACTAACCAGTCTTTAGGTGCTTATAGACTATTTGTTTTTCCTGTTACATTCCAGCTCAGCTTTCCCCTTGATATTTTTATACCCACTACCTCTTCTTGTTCCCCCTTCCCCTTTTCCCCCTTCTTCCTCGCTCCCCTTCTCCCATATTTATTTTAGTTCTAGACATCCAACACTCTGGTCATCTAAAGAAGTGGGCTGTGCCCATGAAAGCTCAGATCATCTACATGCTCTGTTAGTCTTTAAAGCACTACCAGACTATTTGTTGCTTTTAAAATTTATCCTTATTTATTTAATAGTCTAGTAGTTCTTTAAAGATGAATCAAGTGCTACTAGACTATTTGTTGTTTTTTTAAGTTTTTCCTGTTACAGACTAACTTGGCTACCCCCTCTGAAACCTTTTGTATTTGACATATTTCCCCTGTCAATCACCATCTCTTTTCTCAGAAAAGTACAATGAAAACAGATAGAGAAACAGGATGGTTAAGGCTAAGCCTTCCAGGTACAATAGGTAAATGCAGTGTGACAATAATTAAACGGTTTCAGGGGGTGGCTAAGTTAGTCTGTTACAGAAAAAAACAACCAATGGCCTGGAAGCACTTTATAGTCTAACAAAACGTGTAGCTGGGATCATGAGCTTTCGTGGGCACGGCCCCTTCTTCAGATGCCCGGAGTTATGAGTAGGGGATATGAAAACGAAATGGGGAGGGGAGGGGAGGGGAGGATGTTCTGTCCCCCACCCCCGTCCTGTTTACTGGAAAACGGGAGTTAGCCCAAAGCTGATACAATCGAAGTCAGTCCAGAGATCGCTGGGCGGGAAGGGCACCAGCAACTCACACACAGGAGCCCAACAGCCTGCCGGGAAGCGACGGGTTTTATCCGCGCCCTTTCCCCTCTAGCTCGGGGTCAAGTCGTGCGACCCCGCCCCCTACAGCCTAGAACGCCTGTCACACCCGCACGTCACCGTCTCAGGAAGGCTCCAATCAGAAGACGATGACGCACAGTTAAGAACGAGGGCAAGGCTACAAAGTGACGCTTGCGGGAGCCATCTTTGATGTGGGTAACAGGCGTTCGGGCAGTTGGTAGCGCGCGATTTAAATTAATCCCGAATGTGGCACTGAACTCGGACAGTGCTCTCACTCTAAACCCAAACCCAGTTGAGGGACTGATGAGCTAACCCCCAAAGCCGCGTGGGGACGCCCCTGCTAGAGTCAGAACACGGAAGGGGCATTTGTTAGTTCCCTTGCCAGTGTCAAATATGGCGGACGGGTACGCGGCGACAGCGCGCAGCAAGAGGGCCGGGGTTGGTGTCACGTTATATAGAGTCCGACTGGAAACATCTTCAGGGAAGTGAAGCCCCTGAAAGAATAAAGCTTCCGGGTTTGTTTTTTAACTCAAGCGGAAAGGGGAAGAGGCTCTGTCTTTGGATGTGGTTCCATTAACCCCCGCGCCTCGTCTGGGCAGCGTCGCGCCCCTGCGGCTGCGGAGACCATTGCATTTCGGTTTGCGTGCAGCCATGAGAGGCAGCGGCCGCATTCAGAATCCGACTTGAACGAGCTGGTCCTGGAGTTGTGCGCCCACTTTCCAGCAGTGAACCGTAAACACACGCACTGTACCCAGCGTATAGACATGTACTCGCTGTTAGTGCATTGACCTTAGCCACTCACTCTTGTCATCAGTTTGCTGCTGCTGCTGCTTTTTTCCACCATAAAAGTCCTCTTGTTCCTCGAAAGTATCTCTGCGATGTGGGGTTTACCAGTGATCCCCTTGCTGATTAATTTTTGTGGCGGTCTTTTGGGATTCGTGGCTACCCTGACGCTGATCCCAGCCTTCAAGGATCATTTCATTGCTGCCAAGCTCTTCGGGATAGACTTGAACAAAACTTCTAAACAGCCCATGTGAGTAACAGCTATGATTCGTTAAATTGTATTATGTGGTAATCTTGGTAGTTACAAGCTTGCTTAACATTTTTAAACGACTAAAATAAAGAGCAAGCATAATCTGATTAAAGTATGGGGAAAAGGAATTTATTTTAATGTATGATCTTCCACACATCTCTGCTTCTGTCCTTCCATTTAAATAATTTCTGTACTTCACAGGGTTGTGGTGAGACTTGACCACAATAAAATACCTTGAAATTATTTGCTGGATGTTGCCAGAGCAATCCGGATATTATTTATTAAGTGATATTTGGGTCCTTCTGTTTCCTGGTAACAATGTTCCTGCATGTCAGAAGTAGGTCCTGCTTTGTAAAGGGTACTTCTCTCAAATCTAGCAAATAGTTTCATACCATTATGTGAAATCCTCCATTTTATATTCAGAAGCAAGAGTGATTATCTTATGTTTCTATGTTGATGTCTTCTCTTTAAGTGTTCTGTGAACATAAACCAATATAGGCACCACATTGGGCTTGTGTACTCTTAAACAACTACAGCTGTAGTTACAGGGCTCCAGTGAAGATGTTGCTTATGCCAATGAGCTTATGTTCTTGCTCTGGCCCTCTGATCTTCCTCATTGTGAGAGAGTTTGAATCTGAAGCTGAACCCAATGGCTGTGTCTAGACTGGCCAGTTTTTCCGGAAAATCAGCAGCTTTTCTGGAAAAACTTGACAGCTGTCTACACTGGCCGCTTGAATTTCCACAAAAGCACTGACTTCTTACTGTAAGAAATCAGTGCTTTTTGCTGCTCCTGTTCGGGCAAAAGTCTTTTTCCGAAAGACTTTTGCGCAAAAGGGCCAGTGTAGACAGCAGAGATTTCTTTTCCACAAAAAAGCCCCGATCGTGAAAATGGCAATCGGGGCTTTTTTGCGGAAAAGTGCGTCTAGATTGGCCACAGACGCTTTTCCGCAAAAAGTGCTTTTGCGGAAAAGCGTCCTGCCAATCTAGACGCTCTTTTCCGAAAATACTTTTAACGGAAAACTTTTCAGTTAAAAGCATTTGTGGAAAATCATGCCAGTGTAGACGTAGCCAATCTGTGTTTATAATCTTATATGTTTTACTGTCACAAGCTGCTTGGCTAAGCATCAGTGAGGACACTGGCATTTGCCAAGATAATTTATTTTCTAATCTTTAGGCTAAAAGTTTGTTGTGAGGTTTAACAACTGTGCTGCTGTTGGATATCAGGACTTTTGGACTTAAAACATTGCCCTGTTGTAACATTCCAATGGAACAGCAGTGAGAAAGCTGCAGCAGCACTGCTGCTGTACAGGACTAGCAATGGGCATACATGTTTTTTCTTTTTAAATCCCTCTCCCCTTTCTGTGTTTCAGTCCTGAATCCCAAGGTGTGATCAGTGGGGCTGTGTTCTTGATCATCCTTTTCTGCTTTATTCCTGTGCCATTTCTGAGTTGTTTTGTAGAGGAGCAGTGCAAGGCATTTCCACATCATGAGGTGAGTGCCCCCCTTCTGATGCTCTTTAAAGTTTGTATAGCTCTTCTCCCGTAGGGTGAGAGCCTGCAGGCCTCAATGAGGATAGCTTGTGTATCGTCAAGACTTGGGATGAAATATTCATTGTGTTGGGGGTCTTCAAATGCATCCTCTCTCAAAGCCAAATGTGATTTCCTGTGGTAGGAGGACTGGTGGCTATGTAATAACCATGGTCCTATCATCTCTCTTTCTTGTAGTTTGTGGAGTTCATTGGCTCCCTTCTTGCCATCTGCTGCATGATCTTCCTGGGCTTTGCAGATGATGTTCTGAACCTGCGCTGGCGCCACAAGCTTCTACTGCCTACCATGGCCTCCCTTCCTCTGCTTATGGTCTACTTCACTAACTTTGGGAACACCACTATTGTGGTGCCCAAGCCCTTCCGGGTGTTGTTGGGGATGCACTTGGATCTGGGTGAGTGATGGAGCATAAGAAGATCATCAGCTTAAAACTAGCCACAAGAATAAAAAGGTGATCCAAAGCCACAGCTCCGGAGGGTAGCAGGTCACAATTTGTGCACAGTTGTGGGTTTCCTCCCAATGCAGATTTGTGACATAGATTGTGGTACCAGAGAACTGAGTTGATAGCCTTCTTAAGTTACTAGTTCAACAATTTATCATTTTCTCAGCTTTGTCCAGAGAAGCACTCCACGCTTTTACAGCATCAGGCTCTAAGCTCATGGAGAACCCAGTGCTTTTTGTGTTTTAATGTGGATCACAAATTGACCAAAGCACAGAACTAGAAATCTGTAGACCAGGATTCTATTCCCAACTCTGCCATTGACTTGTTTCTGTGACCTCTACCCCTTGCTTCTGTTTCCACATCTGTGTTTGGTGCATGTGTGTATACAATACCAATTTCTTGGGTGTGGGAGATGTTTTTTATTAAACTATTATGAAATGTGCTGGAATCATTAAGGCAAAGTAAAACTTGAATGCGAAGGCCCTTTGCTCTGTCTAATCTGCAGGAATCCTGTACTATGTGTACATGGGCATGCTAGCAGTGTTTTGCACCAATGCCATCAACATTCTTGCTGGAATTAATGGGCTTGAGGCAGGACAGGCTCTTGTGATAGCTGCTTCCATCATCACATTCAATGTTGTTGAATTAAATGGTAAGGAAAATGCAAGTATCTTTTTGGGACTCTGATTTAGTACAGATATCCAAGGGAGCTAGGTGCCTATACTTGGAAATGTTTAAAAAAGTCTAGAAAGATTAGCAGATCTTCAGATAAGGACAATGCTTATATACCAAATGGAGCCATGATACTATTTTCTGGTCCAGTATATTAGGAAAGACTTCAAGAGGGTTACACCAAGATACCTTCTTGACAGGCACTGTATGCAAACCTAAGATAGACAGATCCACACCCTGGAACTAGGACATACTTTTGGTTCACTGTGGTTGATGCTGATTTGTCAATAATTTTGTTCTGTCTTGCCTACAGGAGATTATAGAGATGATCACATTTTTTCTCTCTACTTCATGATTCCTTTTTTCTTTACTACTCTGGGACTGCTTTACCACAACTGGTAAGAGACTGCATGAAATAAATAAGCATTCAGAGCATCATAAAGCTTCCTATCCTACACTTAGGAAACAAAATGAAACATTCATATGCTCTTAAATAGACCAATGGAGGGCTGGTCAAAGTATTTTGCATTCTGGCTGGAGCACTGGTTCAGCAAAAGCTTTTGACTGCACTAGAGAACTACATTCTAGGTTCTGTGATTTGATCACAAGACAATCTGTCTTCCCACCCCCTACTCCAGGGTTACTCAACTGTGGAAACCCCAGGGGCCACAATGCTACTCACAGCACAAGCCAAGGCCCGCAACTTAAGTGTGGTTGCATATACATGCAAATAGCTTCTTTCACACAATGCCCCGGTGCTCCCAGCACCTCCTCCCGGGGGGCTAGAAACACTGATACCCTGTTCCCGTCTGTTCCAGCCATCCTGTCTGCTTGCGTCTTTCAATGCTCACTCCGCCTGGGTGATGCTTCACCATTGTGGAGCATGATCCCAGTGGATGCCATGTTCAAAGGATCCCACCCATGGGCCATGTGTAGAGTCCCATGTAAACCCAAACTGCACTGTGGGTCGCATGAGGTCAGTGGGCTGCATGTTGAGTAGTCCTGCCTTACTCACTAATAACCTCTCCAACAAATATCTTGGTTTCTAGATTTAAAAGCTTGAAGTAAGATCCCTAGACTTGATCTTCAACACTAATACTATGTCCTATCCCCATTTTTTCTGTGGGTTGCAGGTATCCATCCAGTGTGTTTGTAGGAGACACCTTTTGCTATTTTGCTGGTATGACATTTGCTGTGGTGGGGATCCTGGGACACTTCAGTAAGACAATGCTGCTCTTTTTCATTCCTCAAGTGCTCAACTTCCTCTACTCATTGCCTCAGCTCTTCCACATCATTCCTTGTCCCCGTCATCGGCTACCCAGGTAACAAGCGTGTAAGTGACTATGAGATGCAATGTAGTTGGAACAAAGAGATGCTTTTAGCTTTGACTTTGTGTTAGGCCTTAAACAGGTGTGGG